AGTACTTTGATTCCAGAGTTAACTCTTCACCTCTAGGTCAGTAAATCAACATTACTTTCCAGCTGATTCCAAGCCTAAACTTACATTACAAGGACAGTACTTTGATTCCAGAGTTAACTCTTCACCTCTAGGTCAGTAAATCAACATTATTTTCCAGCTGATTCCAAGCCTAAACTTACATTACAAGGACAGTACTTTGATTCCAGAGTTAACTCTTCACCTCTAGGTCAGTAAATCAACATTCTTTTCCAGTTGATTCCAAGCCTGAACTTACATTACAAGGACAGTACTTTGATTCCAGAGTTAACTCTTCACCTCTAGGTCAGTAAATTGTCATTATTTTCTAGTTTATTCCAAGCCTGAACTTACATTACAAGGACAGTACTTTGATTCCAGAGTTAACTCTTCACCACCAGGTTTCTTTACTGCCTCCTACAAGCTCTCTCAACATGAAAAGTATTAATAAAGTACCAACTTTCTTTTTTTTTTACCTTTCTATCTTTGTAAGTGGCTGAGAGTGAACTACAAGTAGGGATGATGCTTCACTTGGAGATCCCAATACTGTATCTAATGTAGTGCTTTTTTGGTTAAACTTCACAGAGAGATCTTTCCACCTTTTCTTGCTCACATCTGCTACCTAAGAAAGAAAGAAATTGTGATAAATCATGAATAATCTTTTATGAAGTACACAACCTAACAGTTGGTCAATGTATAATATACACGCACGTTTATAATTACTTTACCCACAAAGCAACACGACTAAAAGTTAAAACCGAAGTTTAAGCAATTACGTTTAAAATTTTAAAGAAAAAAAATTTTCAACGATTTATATAGTTTACATTGACGCAAAAAATATAAAGCTACAAACAACTTTATTAAAATATTGGGAGCTATTTCAAATTTATTCTTTTGTAAAATTAAACAAATCATCATTCTTCAGTATTTGTAATATTTATTTTATCAGAAAGCTCTCAAAAAAGTAGATCTACAAACATTTGTAGGTTAACATGCTTAGTTGATAAAAAAAATAGTAAAACTACATTAAAAAAAAAAGACCCTTAGAGAAGAATGAAGAATAGCTGCCAGAGTTTTATAAATTATTTTTACCGTACTCATTTTCAACGTTCCTTGATTGTATATCATCAATTAATGAACCCTCTTCAATCTGTGTTATTTAAATAAAACAAATTCCACCCATTACAATGGAAAAGCATCTCATGCACTTTTTGTTGTTGTTTTAGGGCAAAGTTATGCGATGGACTATCTGTGCTCTGTTGAAATTCCATAAATTTACCACTAACCCATCATGGGACATCTCATGAACTGATGAGCTTATCACCAACCCATCACGGGACATCTCATGAACTGATGAGCTTATCACCAACCCATCACAGGACATCTCATGAACTGATAAGCTTACCATTAACCCATCATGGGACATCTCATGAACTGATAAGCTTACCACTAACCCATCATGGGACATCTCGTGAACTGATAAACTTAACACTAACCCATCACGGGACATCTCATGAACTGTACACATCCATCAAACACATTTCCACCTTTATAAAAATATATGCCAAATTAACCCACAAAATGTAGGTTACACACAAATTCAAAAAAAAAAAGTTTGAAATACATACAAAAACTGTTATCAATATTAATTCCCCATCAAAATGTAGAAGTTTAAAAGAAATGATAAATTAATTCTAACAAACAGTTTTGGATTTTCCCTGGTATCCTTTGAAGATATTTTAGCTCTGCTCAAGTATCATCTAACCATAAGCAAGATATATAAAACTAACCAATCACTTTAAAATGCCTACCTTTTCAGTCACGATATCTGTGAGTTCTGATATTCTTTGAGAAGCCAGACTACGAAATTTCACAGTCTAGAAACAGAGGAAATTAACAACGTTTATCAAACTTCAGTATTATAATAATTGTATTTACCATTTTCTGTTTGTTTTGAATTTTGCGCAAAGCTACACGAGGGCTATCTGCACTAGCC